TCACTGGACTGTGCTGAAGTGTTTTTCTTTCTTCTTCAGGTTTTCTCTGTACATTATAGTGAAGCGGTTCAAGGCTTGTAGGTTTTGTCAGGTTGGGAGTTAAGTCCTTTTGTAAATCGCTCCAGCAAGTGTCCCATTTTACCAGCACTGACCTGAAACCTTTATTATTCACAGTGGAGTTCAGAGCTGTTTGGAGAAGATTTTCAACATATTCTTATTCTTTGTCAGACTGTGTGTGTGTGTGTGTGCTGCCGCCTCACGTTGTGTTCATCAAACGCTTATCGATCATCCACATGTGTCTGCTGTGTGTTCTGCGTCCAAGTGGTCACACATTTCTATTTCCAGAAGGCTTTCATCTAAAAAGGGCGTCACGTCTTAAAGGGAACGTGGGGGAGTTCTGCGGCGCGCAAACATACATCCGATGTAGTTTCTGAACACAGTCCCGTCTTTGATTCGACTGTTTTTCCTGGAGAAGCTTTTGTCATTCAGCGAGCAGACAGGGAACATCGTTTCTGATTAACCAGAACAAAAGTGATGTCCACGAATAGCAGCTGCAAGTGGGAGGGAAGTTTGGACGTCCTCTAACTTGTGAATGCTGCTGCTTCAGAGGGTTTCATGTGGTTTTCAGAGAAGGAATGGTTTATTCAGTGTCGAGCAGAGTGCACAGGCAAAACAAAGTGTGTATGTACAGCAGCATATAGCACTGTGTATGTATAATTAAAGCCTTTGTGAGGTCTGTTTAGATGAATGAACCCCAGGGCAGTCTGTTTGGAACTTGGTGTGTTTTTATTCAATAAGCTGAACAGAGGTGATGATCATGGGCTCATTTCTGGAACAACACAAGCTTTTCTCTGATACATGAGCCTACAAGACATCTATCACTATGTCTTTGTAATAGAAAACCCTGTGAATCCATTATATAAAACTTTCACCTCGTTCTACTTGTCTCGTTTAAAAATTCACCAAAAACAAGCAGTTAGCATTAGAGCGTTAGAAATCACTAAATCCCGCCGCGGTCGGTGCGTCCGTGAAGCCATTAGTGGCTCAGCTGTGGCTTTGAAAGGCATGTTCTGTTTTAAAAACCTCCAAATCACCATTAGTCAGAACACGAAACTGTAAAATCAGAAAGGTTCTTGTTGAACTTTCTGTGTTGTGGAGAAATATGGCTGGAAAAATACACTGGAAATGAGCCGTGCGCATTAACTAGTATTAGTAAAAAGCACTTGACATAAATTGGGAGAGTTTTCAGGTGAACTGAGACTAAGAGAAAAAATCCAACCGACTGGATCAATAAATAAATGCAGCATGGATCAGAACCAGTGAACAGAGGAGCCAGTTGTTGGAAGAAATGACCAGAAACTGCTCAGAGTTCCAAATGTAGGAGAACATTACATTGACTAAATAAAAAATCATCCCTCATCGTCTCATATCTTGACAGTATTTAATAAAATTCCGACACTGATGAGCTCGCCGACCAGAACCGAAGCAGCCATGTGGACAGATCTCTCCCGAACAGGACTCTGTTTTCACACCATCTGTCCCGCTGGAGGAAAACTGAAGCTGCACGATGGAAAGCTGCAGTAATTAATGATGAGGCTCCTGAGCAGGTTTCTGTTTTTATGTCCCCTCCAGAGGTCTGTGCATGCCGCGACCTGAGTCTTTCCTACAACGTCAGGCTTCATTTTCCACCCGTGATAGACGTGTTATTGTTAATGTGTGAGGAGGAGTCACTGGAGGTTAGGTCGCTCGATTAGTTCAAATTAGATTGTAGGTAGATGGTTTTAGGTTTGGTCTTTGTTTCTATGAGGCTTTATGCTATTATGACAAACTCGTCTTTTAAGTATTGACATGAGGTGGATAAAAACAACTTGTTATTGGAAACCTTAAAGGAATAAAAGTGTTTTCTCCTCTTTTAGATCATTTATGTCATTTATAGGTGCTTCATGAATGCCTGTGGATGTATCAAACCATAAAACAACCACAAAAAAACATAAAATCACTACGAAAAAATAGAAAACAAACATCAAGATGCCCAAATTGACCCCAAAAGCATGCAGAACAACCACAGTGGATGCTTAGTCCTGACAGGGAAGCACGGAGGTGGCAGCATCATGATGATATGGGGCTGCATCAGAGCAAAAGGTGTTGATGACATTTCTAGATGCTCCATGAATATCTGAGGATTTAGATTTTGACTTTATCTTTTCCACATGAACAGGACACACATTCTACAAAAACACTGTTCACACATCGGTACGGTTTTCTCTCTGTCCACATCACCTTGGCCTTTTGCTAAGGGTTGCTATGACGGATGGCTTTTGCCTAGTCGAGCATCTAGGTGTTGTGTTTGTGTGTCCTGAGGGGAGGAGGCTGAGGTGTGTGTTATGTCCTGTTCTGTTGTGTTTGCAATTCATGCATTGGTCCTGTTGTTTAATTCTGTGAGGTTTGGTGGGAAGACCGGTTATTTTGGAGGCTGTGGTGGTTATGAGTTT